GCCTACTTCGATCCACTGTTGGATAAAGACCTCCCCAAAACTTTGTCATAAACTTCTGTTATTTACCATTTTCTGTCTATGTTGATTCAACAAAATTTTTCAGCTCATCTTACCATCGATATGGAGGTATTCGTACAGCCTATTTACTCTGTCTTACAACCCAGTTCAGTAGCTCTGTGGTCTAAATATGGTCGTTTTTTCGGGTTACTAATTACACTGTTTGTGCTCTTACCCATTCGTTTGTTTTACAGTGTTACATTGTTATTCTCAACACGCATTTTTTTCATGCAGCGTTACTTAGTCTGTAGTTTACGAATAGCTTTTAGGTTTAGGATTACTATTGTCTTATATACAGTTTCAATAATATAACGAATTTTAGGACAAAATGAGGCTATAGCTTTGTTTTAGTTTGACCATTTGGTTATGCAGTGCTGAAGCCAAAATCCGTAATACCCTCATTAACATTCAGAAGCCCTTATACAGAACCCATCTGGCACAAAGAATCCGCAGGTCCAATAAGCAGTGAAACAACTGACTGGTCGGGTTAGTTTAGATACTCGTGTACAATAATACTAAAATTTATAGTCAGAGTTCATTTTCTCTGTAAGCATTTGCCAAAAATGCATGAGAATATAACTGCTCCATTATTACCTGGGATAATTTGGCTGATAAGATCAGCCAAGGTAGCCAACTGTTTCCCTCGCCATATATTCGACTAATGGCAACATTTTTCATTGCAATGCCATAATAGATTAGAATATGAGTAAGGAAAGGTGGCGATCGTTATGGAGGCTAATTGGCCGTGGACCCTACGACCAATAAAGAACAGTCTGCAGTTTGAAATTAATAGGCTGTTTGCATATGACTAAGTGTATAAAACGGATGATCCCTGTGTAAAAGCGACGCTGAACACGAAAACTATTTGTACTTTTGTCATTTTATCATCAGAAGGAAGGGTGCACAGTTTAGTGAGAATCAAGAGTTACCGGATGTTTCGGTCAGCGAAGAATACTGTTGTCTCACAAGTTCGTTTCCATGGCTACCGTGGTGGTTCAAGAGTGCCTCATCGTACTTCGCTCTGCTGTGTGATCTGTGACAGCTTTTCACTGTGGGCTGAGCGGATACCCACAAGGGCTTCACAAGTTTTGCCGACTGCCCTGGTTTGCGGGTTACATCAATGATGACTTTATGGTACAGCTAGGTGCACCGCATTGAAGGCCTCAAAAATCCAAGAGTATGGTATAACCACATGGTCGAAGTTTCGACCGGAAGTGTCATTGGAGCCGTTATTGTTTGTACCACCCGTCAAAGTTAGCAGTGTAGGGCGTGTTTGATAAGATTTTAGACATTGGATCCATTTTAATGCGCTAAGAATCGACCTTGCTCCTCAAGTCGTAGAACATTCTGTTAGAATGTTTGCTGAATTAATCGGCACAAACGTATAACTGCTGCCCTACAGTAAAAAGTTGAGATTGCAGCGGAGGTCACAAATCAGAGATGTTCTGCGACTGCAAACAGCTAAAGATAATAAAGCACACGTTACAGTCCCTCTAACGACGGTTTTCTATAAGAGGTCCAATACATCGATCCTTACCTTGTGATTGATTCTTTCTGAATGAGGCAAAGTTTACGAGTGGTAGTTCAGCAATGTTCATTTTTAACTGCAAGTCTCTTAAGGAATCTGTCATGACATCAGGGAACCTGCTATGAAACGTTTCACCTAACCAGTACCTTTTAATAACTGTTCATATACCCTAGACACCTCTTGCCAGTCCAGGCATAACGAATTTTCGAATGAAGTTCACCGGGCGAGAACCAGAAAGTAAGGTGCTGGTGCTTTATACCGGTGGCACAATTGGCATGCAGAGTCACAATGGAGGTATGTATAAGAAATTTTCGGTTTTGTTGTGACACTAAAGTGATATCGTTCTTCACGATAGTGTACGTACCAGAACCCGGTTATTTGGGCGAAGCGATACGCGAAGACCCCCACCTGAACGAGGAAAGCTACATTTATAGGTTCTTCAAGCACGAGGCCGTTAAGCCCTTCGCTTTGCCGTAAGTACCAGTTTTACTTTATTTTGAGTTTCATAATGTGACTGTCATTGCTTCAGCTGCCAGTCTTAAACTGATTATGAAACATAAGACTCTGTTGATTGAGTTGACATCACCGCAAAGGAAACCTTGCAGAAATTCATCGACCTATGTATAGTGGACTGTGAGACTATTTTGCTTCAGAAAACCACAGGCTGTGGCCATGCTGTTTAATAATCTCTTAACATTAAGATTTTTGAGTATGACAGGTATTCTGACGTTTTTCCTGAAGGTCCTAATGCAACGAATTTTTAAGTATTTAGGAGTTAGGCAAAACAAAATATAAACAGTAACGTACTTCCGTACTTTTGCACAGATGTTAACGCAGTTGGTTTGGATCTGTCGAAATTGAATAATTGAAAATTTTCAGTTTCATATGTTCTTGCCGTCAGGAGAACCTAGACTCTTGGATTTCGTTATCTTATTTAAAATAGTGAGTGAAATGCGCTGTTTGACTGCAGTAGGATCATTAGAAGATTTTTTAACACGTCTTCAGTCAAATCTCGTGCTATAGCTTATGGTACTGAGGCCTACCGAGCAGGCAACTGTAAGTTCTCTTTTAAGGGATGACTAGAGTCTTCTAGGAAAGGTTGAAAAAGTTTGAGAGATCTCTTGATTACGGAATTTGAAATCAGGGTCTCAAGCTATCAGGACTTGTGTGATAAGCAGCATCGCTAAGCGAAATACTTGAGTCTATTACCGGATTGGCATATCATATAATTAGCGGGATGTTATTGTAGACAAAATAACGATCGACATGTTGAATAGTACCGAGTGTATTCCTTGTAGTCTTAATAAATGACATGCTTTCCGCACAAATATGAAAGTTCTATCACTAAACTAGTTCTAATACTAATGTGACCATTCATCTTCATCAGTCTTCAGAGTGTTCTTCGTCAGCCTTTGTTCAGTGTAGCATAATACTCTTTTTAGCTGCCTCTTCATTCAAGCCAGTTGAGATAATGACTGTGCAATCACTTATTTAACTTACTTAGGGTCTGCTTACGTGCACTTAACTCACTTTGATTCAGAAATTTTAGTTACTCATTATTGGTTACTTACCCACTTTCCTGTTCATTTTCTCAGCTCACTGACTTGGTTGAAAGGTTGAAAAGAAGAAGAGAACAAGACGTTATCCTGCAGGGCGCCGAAATTATTCGCTAGCTCGGCATATACATTCCATCTTACAGCAACAAAATGCTTCCTATCAGGAAAACAGTCTGATATCCAGGACATTAGACCGGTGCTCAATCTGGAATCATGTAAACACGCAAAAAGGACGTTTCTGGGGGTCAAGATTAAACGTCAGTTTGATCTGTATTACAGGGCTTTCGATGCTGTTACAATGTTGTCTAATAAGAATAAAAGCAATGGGCAGTGGAATCCAGCGTCCAAAGTTTGGGTATGAAAGGCTATATCATCAATCACATTCAGAAGTTACCGCTTAATTTCGCATTAAGCATACGTTTGTTTTTATTCTTCATCTAACTCCGGATGATAAACTGAGCCTGTTTGAGTGATGTATTCATCTTGTTGGCCACTTTGAACCGGCAGTTTGTACGCTGCTAAATGATGGGATAAAAATCTTATGCCGTGAAAGTTATAACCCAGTCTAACTTCAATTTCGCCTGCACCTTTAACAGCTAACAACTAGGCTCACAGAAAACGCTTGCGTTGCATATAGAAATGAGAGGATGCAGTTATTTACGGGAGACACTTGTAACTTCTGGTTTACACTGAACCTGTTACGTTGCTAAACATAAATTTTTTCTCTCACGGATATTCAAAGCCTGTAAGTTGAGATGTTGGTCCATTACTATTCGATCTTGTTAGCTTTTCAGGATTAAGTAAAGCACTGTTCCTCCCCGCTGTTATTTTGACTGTTCTGGTTGCGCATGACCTCATTTCTGAGCCACAAGTGACGAAACGAGTAGGTGACCGAGTTTGCTGCATTTAAAATCAGATCTGAACTCGGAGTCCGTTTGCACACCCGGTAAACGCAGTACAGAAACTGCGGATATCAGTTGCGGGACGTACATCAGAGTTGATGACAATTTAAGTAAGCGTATTTGATGCAGAATGCTGGCGACTTCATATGGAACTGTTTAGGACAGAGCATACGGTCCTTGTGGTTTCTCCAAGTTTGGAGCATGCTGGCGATAGAATCAGCAGTCTCAATCGATTGCAGCTGTTTAAAGCGCACGCATGGAATAAAATCAAATGAATTTCATAAGTGTTCGTACTGAATCCCCTACGATCCCTATGTTTTGTAGTCATTATTTTACCTGCTTGTTTCTCACTGTTTGCACTACGGCATTGTGAAATGGATTTTTAATCATATGTATATGGAGATAATAAAAAGATGTCATTTCATACCTCTCATTGAATTGAATTCATAGTACTTTAATGAAGTTTTAAAACAAACTCTCCTCTTTTAAATTTTGTTGCCTCTGTTTACAAACCTGTATTGACAGATGTTGCATCGAAGATGTTTAATTTTTACTTTAGCTCGGTGAAAGGTGAAGATCGACGGATTGTCTACTGGATTCGAGAATACACTCCATTACTGGATTCGTCTGACATGTCCTTTCCAGAATGGGTCAAAGTCGGCCGCGACGTTTACGTAAGTGACCGATACTGTTTAAGATAATTTAAACGTAGGAGTGTAGTAAGCTGAAACTGATAACAGCATAAAACGGTTCATTTCTGCACAACGTAAACAGTTGGTTTATTGGATGATTGATCAATACCGACGTTTCTGTCCGTGTTTCAAGCGCCTTGTTCAAGGTACAGAGTTGGGTTGTCATCAAAAGTTTTTTTTGTCATTCGCAGCTGTTGCAACGTTTGGAGTCAGAAGGCGGGATTTTCATCCGTGCTACGGGTTAAATGGTTTCCTGACAAAGAGGCGACAACGCTCATCCACTCCTAACAGAGTCCGTATCCTTTGCCATAGTTGATGTTGTCGCAGAATTGAATGATTAATGTTTTCTTGATCATTCATGCACTCTGATCATCGGGGGGGG